GTCCAGTGATGGGAAGAAGGTAAGAGGAGAACAGTAGATGATGACAGCAACAAGGAGACCAAGCTAAGCTTCATGTTTGTGAACTTTGAAACCTGTGAACACTGGGCCAACACAATCAAGTTCCTCAGCCCCCCAGAATATCAGGTACAAAGCTCTGGGAGCAGTGACACCAGCTGGCCAAGTCGGTGTGCACAAATCAATGAAACATCACACATGTCAGGGTATGTATGTACCCCCTTCTGCTTTTGAGACAAGATATTGACAAGTGCGTGTGTGTGGTGGTGTGTGTCATATGTGCGTGCATGTGCAGACTCATGAGAAGGACACTGTCCTTTGATGACAAGTGCACTTCAAGAGACCTGTCAAGAGTAGGAAGCCCTACATGGTCATGTGCAGCTGTGAGATGGTGGGCAATTTCTGTGGCATATGACTTGTGTGCTTATGACTTGGCGTGGTTCAACATCTCAGCAAGACTGGGTGGGCCAATACACTTGTCAGCTCCAGTATGTCTCATGATGTGAGTGCCAGCAAGCTGTGCAACAGTATGGTTTCCTATTACATTTGCATTCATAGTGTTTATCCTATAACTCTTTTTTTAATACAGGATACATTTGTCTTCAAAGACAATCAGGCAGTGTGGCTTCTTGTGCCAGATGACAGGCATGAGCATGTTGTGGTTGCAAGGATCATGTGCATTCTCATGTTTGTTCATGATGGTGTGCGTTGTCTGTGGCTTGAGGTATGCCTTGGGCAGTGCCAGTGACCAGGTCTGTGGAGTCTGTGCTTCATCTGGTTCCAGATGAGTGAGGTGTGCTTCTATGTGCCCTTGGGCTGGGGCGGGTGGAGCATGGCCTGCTGGGTCAGCCTGCCTCTGGACAAGATGAGTCCCCAACTTCACCTCTACAATGACTGAATGACATGGTGGATTGTGGACTGGTGGCCCACCAATGGTTGTGAGGGTGGTGATGAAAATGAGGGCGGTGATGAGGATGAGGGCAGTGATGAGGATGAGGGTGGTGGTGGTGGCGGTGGCGACGATGATGAGGACGGGATGGGGATATAGGGGGATAGTGAGGGGCTGTGTTATTGCAGGTTCTCATGTTTCGTCCTATGAGAGGACAGTGAGGGGCTGCGTGCCAGCAGGTTCTCACTTTGTGTTTACTTTTAGTTCTCTTGATAAATCCCTTTCCCACAAACAATCAAACTTAACCTCCCTGTTTTGCTGCGAGTGCCTGTGACCGGACCTGGTCCCAAAAACTCGAGGCTATCCTTCGCTCCATTTTCCCAGTGGTTCGGCCATCTCCTCAAGGTCCTCTGCTCTTGGACAAGGTATGTCACAACGAAGTGGTGGGTGTGGTGGTCGCAAGGGCCGCTGATCTTTTCTTCCCCGCAGGCCACATGTGACGGTCGTCAAATGTGAGACCGCTCGATTGAAGTTCGGAACCGTAATCGAGGCGAGCTGCTATCTGAGCAAGAGGAAAAGAAGTCTTTGTTCTGAACGAACCGTCACATAATAAACCCCGTCACTCGGAAACTCCGGCTGGTTGACACGTCAGCCTAGCCCCGTCACACACCTCCCCTCCCACCGTCAGACCCAACCCCCGGTCTTCTGCCGTCCCGCCTTCCTCCTCTGCCTCGTCCGTGACGCCTCGCTAGCCTCTGCAAACCGGCGTCCTCTTTCGAAATGGGAAATGAGCCCCGGCGCGCTCACGTCATTCACTGGTACCCACTGGTTATGGCGTTCGGTATGGCCCTTGTACCGTACAAGATACTTGAGACTGTGTGCTGTAGTTTGATTGTTCAAGATTTTGTTGACCTTGACATGCTTGATGCTGCTGCTGCTGCCTCCACTTGACATGGTGGGCTCTGTGTGGAGATTGTCCCTTGACTTCATCTCAGGCTACTGGCAGATCCCAGTACACAAAGACAACATAGAGAAGACCGCATTCATGACCCAGCACAGCACCTTCAAGTTCACAGTGATGCCATTCAGGTTGACCAACACGCCAGCAAGTTTCCAGAGGGATATGGACATTGTCCTGTCAGGCCTCAACTGGGTCAGCACTCTGGTATACATCAATGATATCATTGTCTTCTCTGTCTCATTCAAGGACCACCTCCAACACCTCCAGGAGGTGTTCGACCAGCTGCGCACCACCAACATGTTCATGAAGCCGTCCAAGTGCAACTTCTGTTGGACTGAGTTGCCATTCCTCAGACACCTCATGCAGAAGGATGGCATCGCCATGGACCCCAAGAAGGTGCGCGTCATGCACGAGATGGCATGGCCCGTCAACACCACCAAGGTGCGAGCCTTCCTTGGGCTGTGCAACTACTACCGGTGGTTTGTTCCAGCGTTTGTAGAGGTCCATGGAGCCACTGTATCAACTGCTATGAGCTGAGCCATTCCATGGCGTGGTGTGGATGCTGGAGTGTGAAGTGGCGTTCATATGGCTGAAGGAGGCGCTGACAATGGCACCTGTTCTCACATTCCCAGATTTCAAGAGGCCCTTCTACCTGCACACCAACACATTGAAGCTGGCCATTGGGGCAGTCCTGTCTCAATGGACAGAGGAGGGCAACAAACAGGTGGTGGCATACACCAATCAGCAATTATCCAAGTCTGAACACAACTACAATGTGACTGAGTGGGAGTGCTTAAGCATCATGTTCTGGATTGAGTACTTCCATCACTATCTGCACAGCAGCAAGTTCCACGTTGTCACAGACCACACTGCACTCAAGTGGTTGATGGACGTGAAGGAGCAACGTGGGCAGTTGGCACAGTGGGCAATGAAGCTACAACCCTACGACTTTGAAATTGTCTACCATGCAGGCATCAAGCACATCAACACACACACAATGACAAGACCACCCATCATGAGCAACACAGACATCATGGCCATGGTCAGCGAGACAAGGGCAAAGCAGGCAGCAGCAATCAAGGGGGACAAGTTCATGCAGTGGGTGGTGACAAATCCATTTGGCGATGTGGCTTGTGCAGCCATTCTTGCTGGCGCGTTGGTCAACCTGAATGGCATCACTGTGAACTTGAAGGTGCTGTGCCAGGTCGCAAACATGGTCTTCTCAATGTCATCTTCATGTACCAGGATCTGCCAGTAGCCCAAGACGAGGTCAAGGGACGATCTCCACACGGAGCCCACCAGCATGTCAAGGATGTCATCCACATGTGGGAGTGGGTAACTGTCCCACTTCATGACCTGATTCAGGCCACAGTAGTCAATGCAGAACCAAGTCAACCCGTCCTTCTTGGTGACCAAGACCACCAGCGATGCCCACAGGCTGTGAGACAGGCGCATGACGCCAGTGCCCAGCATCTTCCCTATCTCAGTCTTCTGCACAACCAACTCCTTGGGAGACACGCACCACAGGGCCACCTTGATGGGCCAATGGCCCTCCACCTCAATCCAATGCACCTCATGTCACACCTGGCCAGGGGCATGCAGCACGGGCGCAAAGACATCACAATTCAGCGTAAGCAGGGCTCACAGACGCTCCACCTCCATCGCCAAAAGGCCAGCGTCCACTCTGCTGACCATGCCGTCAATGTCCACCGTGGTTGCTGCAGCCACAGGCTCCCAGCTCAGCGTGTTGTGGTAGGGCGCCTCAGACATGCCCTCCAACGCCCCACCATCGACAGGGGTCTCCACCTCAACCTTGCTCCCCAGTGCCACGCCATCAAAGGGGGTCCCCAACCCCTCCACCGCTCCAGGCTCCACCGCCAAGCATACCCAGTCGTCCTCCACCCACTCAGCCTCAGCCAGTGGCGTGCCAGCCGACAGGCGTATTGGTCTCATGGAGAAATTGGCCACATCAGTCACAGTCCAGCACTTGCCCTCCTTGTCACACCACCCGTCAGCTAACGCTCACACCACCCTTGCTGTCTTGAGGCCGCCGCCCCACTCAGTTGGTTCCACCAACAGGTTGACACTGTCGTCAGTCCACGGGGTGGGGCCTTCTGCAACCCAAGCATGTACCCTCATCACCATTCTCAGGTCAAGTACCAGCTCCTCCAACAGGAACACCCCATATCACGCCGCCGTCGCCACCGTGACCAGGAACGGACCGCTTCGCCACCAGGCAGCACCAGCTCTTGCCTCTTGAACTGAATGGCAACACCAAAATTGTGCAGAGCCCCAGTTCCCAGGAGGACCAACACAGGGCAGGCTGGCACAATGTGGAACTCAACTGCCTGCATCATGGAACCCAGTGAGATGGGCAGCCATATGAATCCAAGCATGGTGAGTTCATCACCATTGACACCCACAATCTTGGCACTGTGCCATTGATGGACCACACACTTGATGCCCTGCGCTTGTAGCCACTCCAGTGTCATGGTGTGAATCAACAAGACCCCTGCGCCCATGTCCACCAATGGCCTCATGCACACCTCCCCAATC